AAAAAAAAAAAAAAAAAAAAAAAAATTTTTTAAAGATACTTTGAGAGATCCTGATTCCCTTAACTCATTACAGTATATTGTTATAATTGTTCTATTTTATTATTAATGTTCTTAATCTCATACTGTGGCCCTTTTGCCTGCAACTTTATTTTAATGATCAAGTTATACTTTGGATGATGCAGAGAGAAAACTCCTTAATTTAAAGATACTCTGCTTTATGAGGATGGTTGGACAGATGGATAGCTGGATGGGCGGATAGATATAATTTTGAAAACAAAAAAGATAAACTGCTCAGCTTACAACTCCCCTGGAGGCCTTTGCCCCCACTGGGTCATATCATCTGTTTCTGGTTCTTCGTACAATTAATGTGGGACCAGGTCTCTGACCCACACACAGAGTCAGACTGGCCCAGCGTCAGTGTAGAAAGCGTCTTCACATTCTCTGCATTAGGAAAGGTTCTTGAGCCATGCTAGCCTGGGATATGAGGGGTGGCTTCCTAAACTGTACCTCTTCTTCAGGCATGGCTGCACATTTCCTGCTGCTTTTTAACAGTACTATTTTAATTTTGAAGGCCAGTGACCTAATCACATGAAGCCTAGAACTGCCAACATAAGTTAAACTCTTAACAATTGTTTTTCCTTAGAGAGGGAGTGACTTGTGATACAAGACCATTGTGAAATTCACATCTTATCAGGGAAGCTTTTCCCTTGAATGAATCTTGTCAGTCAGATTTCATTCCAGGAGCAGTACTTGGAAGAGGTGATATGGGTCTCAAATCAAGTGCAGCTGCCAAGCTAGCGGACCTTGATTGCCTACTGGGGGAGCCAGGCCAGAAGCCAAGAGGGAGCCTTTCCTTACACTCCCCACTCAGCAGCTCCCCTGGCTACCAGCTCCTGGGGCCAGCCAGCCACCTTGCCTTGGTGTTTTCTTCTCTTGTCTCATTTAATCTTCACACTCCTGTGAGGCCTGTATTGGTAGCTTCCTTTTGTAGCAGAGGAGTTTGAGGTTTAGAAGGGTTAGGTAAGTTGCCGGAGTGCTTAATACCTCGTTAAGTATACACAGTAGGGCTCTATGGGTCTGTCCTCCCTGTCCTCCTACCATACCTAAGTCATGTTGCCTGCCAAGAAGCCAAAAACTAACTCGGGGTTTATATTGTTGTCTTATGTACACAGTTATGGTTTGATTTGATTTGGCATGACCCAAAGGTCTGCTTACTCCTAAGGCTCCTTCCCAGCCAGGCCCAATTGGGGATTTGCATTGACTGATTAAGTATGATTTCTGAGCTCTCTGCAAATTAGAAGTTTCAGCACAGAAATGGAATGGCGGGAGCCATTGAAAGCTAGCAGAGTTATAGTTTCCCGGCCCAGAAGGAACCATGACTTGTCGTGACGTCTAGCCCAGAGACTGGCAGTTCTGCTCCAGAATGGTTGGAGGTCAGCAGTGCAGCTATTTGTCACAGAACAAGGAGATGTGTCTTCTTCCCACCTTCCTCTTTGATTCTCTTTTTTTTTTTTTTTTTTTT